CCACAGCAGAAAATCATGCAACTAACGAGTCCAAATTGGCTTAGGAAGTCAACTTCGAGAAGGACCCAGTTCAAAATGGACATACCGATTCGCTCTGCACACAGGGGCCAGTTCTGTACACTTCGGCATAGGCATAATCCCTTCTCCTTGCCCACAGGATGCCAGTACGTACTGTTCTGTGGCAGTGAACAAACAGAGGACAAAAGACCACGTTGAAACTGGACAACGCAATGTGGGACTTAGGAACAAACCCGCCGGATGGGTAAAGAAACAGTGGCACTGGTTTGTGGATCGCGCGCAAGCGGCGTGCCAGTTTTTGAAGTTGCATCTTCCAAAAGTGCTCCGACCATGAGGTGTTTTGCTACTTTTGGCTTCCAAATGTGCTTCGCGCGCAGGCGGCGTGCCAATTTTTGCCAGCCCTTCCGCCAGATGGGTCCGCACCCGCCGCTTTACCGAGGCTACCTGTCGGATCATCGCGGAGCACAAAACATCGTAAAACACAGCATTTCGCGCATTTTCTATCCTTCATCTCTCTGACTGATGGTGGCTGCTCAACTGTCCATATTGTCGGAAGTTTGACTTCTAAACTTCCTTTGACGAAGTGCATTTCCGACGACAGTTACACACTTGAGCAACTCCAGCATTCATTTTCGACGACAGTTGCACACTTGAGCAACTCCAATCTTCATTTTCAACGACAGTTACACACTTGAGCAACTCCAGCTTTCATTTGCGACGACAGTCACACACTTGAGCAAGTCCAGGTTACATTTTCGACGACAGTTACACACTTGAGCAACTCCAATTTTCATCAAAATCGAGCTCTCGCGCGAAGCTTCCACAAATTTTTACATTTGTTCCAAAGCTTGGACATCACCGTTACAATACGAATTGCAATTTTCATGATGTTGCTTCACAAAGTATTGCGCCTGCCACGAAAAATGCACGTCGAGGCATACGAAACCCTGCGCCTGTCACGAAAGATAGCAGATCAAAAAACAGCGACAGTCTCGCAAAACGTCCGTTTCGAGATCGATGATGCATCGTGCAAGATCAGGATTTTGTGCGCCTGCCACGAAAAATGTACGATTTGCGGCCACGTCATTTTTGTGCGACAGGTGCAACGTTTTAGCAACGTCGAAAAAACGACGACGGCGCTGGAGGCACTCAGGAACACTTTCGCTTGCGCCTGCCACGTAAAATGACAACAGCATCAAAAATGGGCTTCGCGCGCAGGCGGCGTGCCATGTTTCAAGTAACATCTTGAAAAACTTGTCCGAGCAGGTGGTGTTTTTACGATTTTGACTTCGAAATGTGCTTCGCGCGCAGGCGGTGTGCCACTTTTTGAAGTTGCATCTTCCAAAAGTGCTCCGAGCCCCTAGTGTTTTTTTAACGATGTTGACTTCGAAATGTGCTTCGCGCGCAGGCGGCGTGCCAGTTTTTCAAGTTGCATCTTCCAAAAGTGCTCCGACCATGAGGTGTTTTGCTACTTTTGACTGCCAAATGTGCTTCGCGCGCAGGCGGCGTGCCAGTTTTTGAAGTTGCATCTTGTGGGGAAGTTCATTCGTGTCACGAAGGAGTACCTGCAGAAGAATCCTATTAGCTATACGTACTGATCATTCTCTTCGCTCTGCAGCAGATCGTGGCTACGCGCCGCCAAAGCGAGGTCGAAAAACTTGGGGGTGATAAGCTGACAAAATGCTAAGGCGCATCTCCTTATTTGTTAAGGCAAAGGCACAAGATGCATTGTCTTGCGTGGCCGTTTCATCATAGAGTCTTGAGCTTGGCTTAGCAAGCAAAAGAGTTGATTGCAGATTTGTCCAAGCCACTTGTCATTGGTCTCACGCCAGAGCTTTGGCCAGAGGATGGATGGCAGCAAATAGCCAGTCGCTTTTGACTGTTCTCGTTTTTGGTTCGAAGCGTCACTTGACAAGACACTTGGGCTGACAGGCAAGCGAACACGCAGCACCACCAGCAGCACCACCAACAACAGCATGAATTGACATGCAAGAACTGGCAATAAGTAGAGACATGTTCCAAGTAGAGACATGCTACTGGAGCTTTTGGGTTCTGACCATTTAGTAGAAGAGGTTCTGGGTAGAAAAGATCAAGCCATGTCGGAGCAGGATTTCATGGGCCGCGTGATTGGCGCTGCTTCCCAGGGAGCAGTGGGTGCCGTGGTAGCAGCTTCACTCAGCGCAGTGACCGAACCCTTGGTGAACAACATGCTGGTGAAGCGGACACCCTTGATGGAGGCTATCAAGCAGCTGGATGCCCAGATGATCAAGAAATTCTTGCAGACCACTTTGGCAACGAACTTCATCAAGTTCCCATTTTTTGAAGCTACCGACATCATCATGCAGGGTGTCCATCTTCCTCCCACTGCCATAGCAGTGTTTGGATCCGTCTGCACCATCACCCTGCCAATCACCAACTACCGGTTCCGAAAATCCATGAACTTGCCAGTGACTCCAGGCAATCTCTACCAGGCCTGTGGTCCGACAGCTTTGCGAGACATCATCTATGGCATTGCTCGCAACAAGGTGTCAATCTTCCTGACGAGCTTGAGCCCTGCCATTGCGAGCACCATGATGGGAAGAGTCGTGAGCATGTTCGCCACCGTTGTGGCAGCATGTGTTTTGTCGGCGCCTGGCAACGAGCTGCGAGGCTACTGCTTGCAGCCTCCCGACCGCAAGCAATCCTTCGCGGATTTCTTCCAGCCAGCCAAGGTGATTCGGAGTACGTTGGTGGGTGCCATCATCATGGGCATTAGCTTGGCTATTGGCACAATGGCAACACCACAGGCGGAGAAACTCATCGAGGTCATGAAAAAGTACTTGCAAAAGAACCCTCTCAGCTATGTTGTGATCATTCTTTTCGTCCTGCAGCAGGTCATTAGTACTCGTCGCCAAAGCGAACTTGTTGCAAAACTCGGTGCCAAGGTGTCGCAGGGGGTTGAGCCAGTGGCTGGTTTTCATGGGGATAGCTGGCAATTTGAATGGGACCACGAGCATCACTTGCACATGTTTATTTTATGAAACTAATTTGAGTGGAAACAAGAACGCACACCAGTTTCGCAGATAAGCAAGAAAGCAAGCAAGGAAGCAATATTGTGAACATATCACACTCCTTTTCTTGATAGTTACACGTTTGATACAACATATTCTTTCTTCCAATTGACAGTGCTTGGAAATGGTTGGTGGACCCCGGACACTGTGCAGCCTCATGAGAAATCCACCAGGAGCAGATCTTGGCTCCGGTGAACTGTGAAAAACCACAGCTGGAAGAGGTGCCAGAAGAGACCGTTTTTCGTCCCGTTTCCATCGCTAGGTTTTCAGCAGTTGTGACTGGACAGTAGACATCACGGTGCATTAAGAGTGGAGCTTCCCCAATGAACAACCCATATGGACATGGTCCCAAATCGGCCCATCTATTTTTACCAACAGGACACAGCTGCTACTGCTAGAGACTTTTGAAGGTTGAACCTGGTTGTCCCACGGTCTCTTTTGATGGACTTCATTTGCCCGGTTGGCAATCAGTAATTATCAATATACATCAGGGTACCCGCCGCAGTCCAAGCATGTTGATCACCACCTATGCGTTAGTCACTAGCAACAGATCGATTCAAAGTAGCTCATGCGTGAAAGCAAACACGCTAGCGCCTAAAGCCATGGCAGCTTTGACCACAGCACATGTAATGCTGAGTGTTTGATCCATCGTTTGCCAGGATTTTCCACGTTTGCTGGGGGGGCAGGCGCGTTGTTTCAGCATAGTTCTGCTCCCCTAGATGAATTTTTGGTCTACATTAAAGCGGTAGCAGCATCTGGTGCAAATGCATGCAAACTTCAGAGATCAGAATTGCTTCACGAACTGCTATGCATTTTGTGTGGAAACATGAGCGTCAGTGGCAACATGGACCATTGAGTTTTTGTTGCAAGTCTGCATGGTTTCTCCAATTTCTTGCTTCTTTGACAAGCACAGGGCTCTTCAGAATGGCCGCGTCATACAATCCTTCGAATTTCATTGTTTGTTCATTCAACCTTGTTGCCAATTTGAGAAGTAAAGCGCAATGATATTTCAGTTTTTTCCACATGCAGGAGATACGCAAATAGCGAAAAACCTGTAGAAGTCCAAGTCTCATATTTCTACAAGATACCAAGATCAAGAGATTCCAAATTTCAATTGGATGGTCCGTGGTCATGTCAAGCGATCCGCCTCCGCCTCGGAGACTGTTCGAGCAGTGGATTCAAAAAAGGTTGGGAGAGTCGAATGCGGCTCAATTCAATAACCTTTTTTGAATCCACTGCTCTAACAGTTCCAGCCAAGCCCGGGTTCTCCGGAGCTTCGTGATGGAAAACTTGTGCACTCCTGCACACTGCGATTCCATCCGAGGGTCACGGCGATATATCCGAATCTGGAGGGAGCCTTCATGGGTGAAGGCCGCTGCAGCAAGGATGCCGAGCACAGTGCAGCTTCGAGAGCGCTCACAAAGCAAGGGTGGAAGCGTCCCGTGGATGATCCTGATGCCAGTGCTGGGAAACGGCGAAAGGATGGAAATTGGCCTTCGACTTCCCATCCGACGACGTAGACCATTCGAATTCGAATGCCGTTCGATCAGCCTCTGACCCTGGGTGTACAATGAGGTTACAGTTGATGAACGGCGTGGAGCATCAGAAATAGGACACAGATTTGAAGGGCGCGTTTTCGCCTGTGATTCAGTTGGCTTCAGCCCCACAGGAGACGATGATGACAACGCGCGAGCAAGAAAACCCTAGATGCTTTGCATGTGCAGCTCCAACAGGCGTCATGTGCATCTTGTTCTTCAAATCCGCTAAGTGTGAAACAAACCCTGGTTTTACCATGTTTTGCTGAGACACATCCCAAGTCCATCGGTTGGAATTTGCCAACATCCGCTCACAGGTGCAATAGCTATCAATAGCTAACCTGACATGGGCCCTAGGCAAAGTTCTTTGACCCCAAACGTTTCCAAACAGAAAGAACATGATAGAACAAAGTTTGGCATGTTTCACCATGAGGGTCAAGATTCTTTTCATCCTTAACGTGTTGAAAGGGGCGAGCCGCTACGTGGTTTTGTTGAGTTCCATTTGCTAGAGCTTCTCGGATTCCATTTTCTTTGCTTCAAGGAGGATGACCCCTTGACCAGGGCCAACATGTAAGGACGAGAAAGACGTTTCAAAGACGTTGCCATTCACCTATGTTGCCCATGCTTCATTTTTCCAAACCATGTCAATCTATTTCGTGGATCCTTTCCCAGACAGGTTCATCCGACACACAGGCTGGGCAGTCTCTGTGCTTTAGCGGAGCACGGACACTGCCTTGATTGTACATAATATTTGTTGGATACGCCAGGCTTAGGCGTTCATGCACATTCCACGCATGTTTGAATTCCGAATGTTCACCATTATTGATTGTTGCGACGGGAGAGATATGGACCACATATCGTATACTGATTGCGTTGCCCTGATTGCATCCCTGTGTCGTTTCAGCGGTGAAGTTGGTGAATCGCAGGTGGCGCCTCTCAAGGCTCAGGGTGGTTGGTTGATTGGGTTTTGTTGGATTGGTCGAATTGGGTTTGTTGAGTTTGTTGTCCCCTGAGATTTTTTGGAACTCCTTTACGTTGACATGGGAACAAGCAAATGATCAAGGGTAATCCGACAGGAAATACAACGGGTAAGTATTGAATAAGTGGGTCTAAAAGTCTGGCCAGAAGCTTGGCATTTCCTGAAATGGGGGTAGCCCAAGTTCATCAAAAATGAATAGATTGATTTATTTTGTTTTTGGTACCACTAATTATCCAAGGAAATGAAATACCCATATAGATGAGAGTTACAGAAAGTCAAATTGCAGTGAGTCAAAGCCAGGCTTGGACGAAATTTCTACAAAATCCATATGCCATGTCTTTTGATGTTGAACAAGGCACCAGGGCTTCCATCATACCATGAAACAATGTAGATCAAGTTGTACTCCATGTTGATACAGGAATTAGGGTTAAAAAGATGGCATATTTCCAAACCATTTATGACAACGGGCTAGGGGGCTTTGCACCACTGGATCATCAGTTTTGGGTACGGGGCGAACCTGTCCTGGTTGGTGACCAGTTCCATTCTTTTGTTCCATGATATTTCAAATGATCAACCAGCTAAAATGTGCAGATGTTTGGAAAGACTCCAACCGCCAGAACCACTTCTGGTTGGGGGTTCTTCAGTTTTTCATCCGTTTATCGTGTTATTGTTCCACGGCTAGCACAGCGCCGAGGCATCGGAGGAGCCAGAGGAAGATGAGAAGGCGCTATCAACCCACGGATGTCCAGCAACAAATGAATTGAAAATTGAGTACAATGGCTACTCAAAAGTTTGATAATGGTTATCGTCATCGTCATCATCCTCATCATCATTCTTATTATCATCATCATCCTCCTCGTCCTCCTCATCCTCCTCATTTTCATTATCTTCATCATCATCATTATCATCATCATTCTCCTTATCTTTTTCTCCGCTTCATCAGCATCATCCTCATCATCATCCTCATCATCATCATCATCATCACCATCATCATCGTCATCATTCTCATCATCATCATCATCATCCTCCTCGTCCTCCTCGTCCTCCTCATCATCCTTATCATTATCTCATCATCATTCTCATCAGGATCATCCTTCTCGTCCTCCTCATCCTCCTCATCCTCATCATCGTCATCATCCTCATCATCATCCTCATTATCTTGATCATCCTCATTATCTTGATCATCCTCATCCTCCTCATCCTCCTCCTCATCCTCCTGATTCTCATTATCTCCATCCCTATTATCATCCTCATACTCCTCATTTTTGTCATTACCATCATCAGCATTATCCTCCTTAACCTCATCCTCATCATCATCATCATCATCCTCATCATTATCCTCCTCCTCCTCCTCCTCCTCCTCCTCATCCATTATCATTATCATCATCATCATCCTCCTCCTCATCATCATCATCATCATTCTCATCATCAGCATCATCATCATCATCATCACCATCATCATCATCATTCATCATTCTCATCACCAGCATCATCATCATCACCATCATCATTCTCCTCATTCTCATCATCATCCTCCTCGTCCTCCTCATCCTCCTCATTATCCTTATCTTTATCTCCTCATCATCATTCTCATCACGATCATCCTCCTGATCCTCGCGATCCTCCTCATCCTCATCATCATCCTCATTGTCTTCATCATCCTCATCCTCATCCTCATCATCATTATTCCATTATCATTATCATCATCATCATTCTCATCATCCTCCTTATCCTCTTCATTCTCATTATCTTGGTCCCCATCATTAACATCATTATTGTCATCATCATCATCATCATCATCAGCAGCAGCAGCATGATCATCGTCATCATCATCGTCATCATCATCATCATTATCAGGATCATCATCACCATCAGCATCACCATCAGCATCGTCATCGTCATCATCATCATCATCATCATCATCATCACTATCATTGTCTTCTTCCTCATCCTCCTCATCATTCTCATTCTCCTCCTCCTCCTCCTCACCATCGTCATCATCATCCTCATCTTCCTGATCCCGCTTATTCTCATTATTTTCATCTCCATCATTATCCTCAGATTGTCATCATCATCTTCATGATGATGATGATGATCATCATCATCATCATAATCATCATCATCATCGTCATAATCATCATCATCATCATCATCATCATCATCATCATCATCATCATCATCACCATCACCATCACCATCACCATCACCATGATGGTCCTTCTAGAGACTTTATCTTTTCTTGTTCGCTGAATGCTTGGCTGCGCCAAAGATAGTTTCAAATCATGGTTTGCCAGCATAAACAAGCGGACTCTTTTTTTGAATATGCAAAGAGTCTGAGATTTGTTTCAATGAGGGGAACAAGTGAGCTTTTCTTGGTGCCTTGTGCATTGGGAGGACACAGGTGAGGAACGCCAAATGGTGTCTTGGACTTGCGAGCATTTCTACATTGGCATCTGTTTCTCGCGGTTTCCACATTCGTGAGAAAATGTAGGTTAATGTTGATGCAAAACCTGGAAACTTCGTAAACACTCACTGGTGGGTTTTGTTTTCTAGTTTTACAGAGGCATTGACAAACAAAACGACACTCAGGATGATTTTACGCCAGCAAACTCTGTTCCGTTTGGCGTTGTGATCACCGACGTGGAGACTCGCAAGAGTGTCGTTCTCCTAGGAACACCAATTCTTGAGTCCGAACTGCAAAATGCGAAACTGAGTTGACTGAGTTGTCTCGTTCTGTCCAGCAGAGCTGCAATTCAGGCCAGAGGCTTTGCAAGGCTTTGTTTAGAAAACATGTTAGAATCCATTCTGTAAACATTTTCCGTTTCCTTTGGATTCAGAGGCCAACCGTGACCAACTTACAGGATGTGACTTGCCTAACCCCGCAGCCTGGTTTCCTTAACCCTGAAGTGTCAACAATCGTTTGACTACGAATGATTTTGTTTCTTAACTAACCCTAAAATGTACTTCACCCCAAAGAACCCTGAAAAACAACACGGAATTGTTGGAATGGTCATGTAATGTAATTAATCCCCATTCATCAATCATAATGTTTGATTTGTTTGGCATTTTGTGCTTTCTTCCTAAGTTTGGCTTCTCCTGGTCCCGTTTTAGGTAAGGACCTAATTTTTTACATGTTCGCGTAAAATTGCATAGGAAAAATGTCACAGGTTGACCAACATCATTGACCAACATCATTGCAACACCATGTTAGGTACGGACCTAAATTTGACCTTGTGCTGTACAAATGCATAACACAAGGGGAATGAATAAATCTGCGGGTTGTTTGAAAACCCTTGAGCCTGCAATTGGTGAAGACTTGATCCTGAGAGTTCCCGCACATTCTAACAGGTCCCCGCAGGTCTTGAGAGTTAATGTGACACGGACGCGTCAATATGTCGTGGTTAACGGTCCTTCTGAAAACGTGGTTAAGGCGCTTTGTTTGTGGTGATTGGAAATAGCTCTATATAGCTTTAAAGTCGTGCTTAGCACACGTCCTCCCATTCCCAAGTCGTGGTAGCTTTCCTACAACTGCGTCGCGGTAAGCAACGCGTCTCTCAAAACTGTAAAACACAAAGAACAAGAAACAACATTGCAGTTTGAGTTGGCGCACATCAATAGCAGAAACACGAGCGTGAAACGAAGAAAAGGTACAGATAATTTGAGCAACATTCAGGGTTTAAAGAAAAACCATATCGGGGTTAAGCACCGCGGGGTTGATGGTTAGGGAAAGACAACTTCAGAGTTAAACATGACCTTTTAGTTCAGGGTCAGGCGCGTCGCCCGGCAAACTACGCCATGGCAAGACTGCGCAGAAATTATGTACAGAGTTTATTTTGTTTGGGTCTTCTCCCGTACCATTCCTCGAATCATCCATTGCGCGCCGATTATTTGAAGACAAAATCCTGGTGCTTTTCCTACAGCCTTTTTACGCGCTTAAGAAATGTTCCAAGTTTTTGTTCCCAAATAGCGTCTTCTCAGTGGCTGGGTGGCTGCGTGCCGTTTTGGTTTCCTCTTCACCCTAATCTCCAGCGTTGGTTCCCAAGCTTATCTCCCAGCCGTTTCCCTGCAATCTCAAGTCCTGCCTCAATAAACCCATGACTCATTAAGTCGAGAGGCATTCCAATGAATGGGAAGACAACCATTTTGGATTAATGAGCATCCCTCCAACGTTTTCCGGCTGGGAAGGATTGGCTTCTTCAAAGTTTTACTGAATTTTACAAGGATTTATCTTCCGTTCCTTCAGTTCCAGCTGAGGTCAACACGAAGAAAAAACAATACAATTCGGCGAGGACTCGGAAACGGCACACGCATTGCTGACAGGCGTTGGCTCCTGTCCATTGCACCCTTGCTCCAGCTTTCATGAAACTTTCATGAAACTTGCCAGGAGCCTCCCAAGGTTCCTCGAACTTTTATCAATGGGATCCAGCCACTTCAAGGCCAGGAGCATGCCATGAGATGCCATGAGATGCCATGAGGGGTCGAGTGTCTCACTCATGTCAGGCCCACGCGCATGGCGCTTTGAGACTTCTGACTAGAAAGGCGCGACAGGCTGGGCAATACTATACAGTGCTTACTTACCTCCCTATTAGTGGGATGATTTTCACCAATAGAATACACAATTGTTCTGGCTTTGTGCAGGAGGAGGCGGAACGGCCAAGCACCTAATTTGCTTCGGATTTGCTTGTGTGACTTCCGTTGCGTGGGAGTGTGTTCTTGTCAGTGGTGTGGGTCTGGGCATTGTTGTCCCATCTAGTTTTTAGCAGTACTTGAGCTGATGCCATGACTGCGGAGGCCATTACTTGTCCGCGAGAAGCGTGGATCTTAGTGAAATCTATCCCAAAATGGATTACCATAGGGGAATCCCCAAAAAAGATGAGAATGGTCATGAGAATGGAAAGCAACGGGATGAAGGATGTACTGTTTTCAGATGTAGCATGAAATCCATGATGTGCCAAATTGGAAAGATTTCAATGAAGCCAATGACGGAGCCTTATGCGATTCGTGTGCAATTTGCTGCTCCAGTTGTGGTTTGAATCTGCTTGCAGTCACCCAGATCTCTTGAGCGCGCTAAGCTACCAAAACGGTAGAATCTAGTTTTTTTCAAGAGGCACAAGTTTGAGCGCAGACATTTCAGTAGCAGCTCATCCACCAGCTTCCGGTCGTCGCTTAAGGCGTTGGTCAATGGACTATTTGAGCCGCCTCAGTGCGGAGCCATGAGCACAATCGTCACTGGTTGCTGGCACGCTAAATTGCTTCCAGCATGCATGCATACAAGTGTTGTATGTGTCTGTAATCAATTGGTGGTTGCATGTGAGTCGTGTGAGTGTTCGTCGCCATTATGTCTATCGTGATTACTTTTTTGTAAGTAACGTTGTACATCGAGAAATGCGAATGGGAAACGAGTGAGTCAAGTTGCCTTGTGTGGAAACAAGTGAGTCAATCAAGTTCCGTTGTGCCTTGTGTTGAGGCTCGAGTTTGGACACCATTGGAACGGAAAATTTCATGCCAAAGTGGCCACAGGAGCGGGGCCGAGAAAGACTACCCGTTTCCGGAAAGAGCCAAAACCACCTACCGGGATGTTGGTTTATCCACCCTCCAGCCCGATGCTAGGAAGTTGTCGAGCTTGTCGAGCTTCTGAAGAGGTCGGCAACATTTTTCGATGTGTAGCTTCTTACTTCTCAGCTCGGCATGTTGCATTTCCAGATCATGAGGGTGGTTTCAAAGTCCGAAGAGCTTCGTTGATGCCAGGCCAGGGGATTCGGCGCTCTATGCAACAATGAAGGACGACATGGCACATGCGTGTTGTAAGGCCACGTGGATGAATATGACAACTGGAATTGGGCCTCCGCGCATTTTATCAGTTGATTTTCATTTAAATTTATGAGTATCAACATGTTGGAGACCTTATATATATATAAGTTTTTTTTCCGTTCGGTGTGCGTTGTGTACTTTGTTCTGCTCTTTTTTGCTGTCCAGTGCGCTTTGTTCTGCTTCTTTAATGTCTTTGGCGTGCTTTGTTCTGCTCGTTTGGTGTGTATGGTGTATGTTGTTCTGCTCCTTTGGGGTGCTTGGCGTGCTTTTCCCTTCTCCTTTGGTGCAGAAAGACATTTTCGGAAAACGCTCAGAAGAATGTTTAGCATCATGTGAGACCAGTACGAGAAGTGGACTTGGGTGCTGAGGCGAGATAAACTTGAATTTTGGTTCTCAGGTGTGAACATTTTGGAGCGAAAAGGCAGTGTCCAGCAATGACTTCAGTAAAAATTGCTGCAGTTCCAGCTATATATTTTGTATGAATTATTTTAAGCATCATACATTCAGATTTCCTGTGCTAATCCGCCGGTTTACTTGATTCCGAACTGTCAGCATGAATGCCATGGTTGCTGGAGGATAGAGTAGAAACACAGCGCTGGATTGTTGTCGGGTGGCGCTTTGCTATTGCTCCTTATCAGAATGGACACCTTGCGCAAAACTGTAGTGAGATGACTTTCTCTAGAGCCAGATTTGAGTTCCATCGGAGGATGCGTCGAGCGAGCAACTGAAATTCCAAAGCGGTGCATATTGTATCTCGCACCCTGAGAAATCTGAGAAGGCCGCAGCTTGATCAAGGGGCTTCCCATCGGTTTCCGATCATGTTCCACGTTGCTGCGTGCATTTTCGTGCCATTTTGCTGGCGAAAGGCCATCCCAGGAGGTGCCGACAGCTGGGACCCCAAAATGGCTAAAAGGGCCACTGAGGGTCATCCATGCTCAAGCTGTTTACTTTGCTCATTGTGCCGTTTCATCTGTTTCCCTTCAAGCTGTTTGGAGTTTCAAGACATGTCAGTGCAATCGTAGTCCATTCAAGTTTGGGTTTCACACATCGAATTCGATTCATCGAGTGTCCAAGAAGTCAGAGTCCTGTTCCTCTGTTCTTCATTGACATTGTTTTGTTTCTAGGCTACTTCGCTGCCGAGAATGACTTAAGTCTTGGGGTCTGGACCCCACCTGAAGAGAGATGCAGGTTGGTCCGCGAAAAAAAATATTATGAGTAAATTCAAAAACCCTTTGGAAAATCAAATCCATCATGGTATTCAAAGCGGTTCATTGTACTGCAGCCCTCATTTAGATTGGTACAATACCAACCTGAAACAATCAAGCTGTCAGGGTTTTGTCAAAAGATTATCAGGCTGCAGTGCGATTGGGTCCGTGTCGAGGTCGCTGACGGCGTTGGAGAGTGGGAATGGCGTTTTGGCACCGGCGCCCAGACGCCGGCAGAACTTTGTTGCTAGCTCTAAGGGCGCTCGAAATGAAGAGATTTGGGGCTGGGACTTGGAGTTGAGATCTTCACACCTGGAGTCTGAAAAACATGCCGCCCTCCGGCTCAGTGAACTTTGCTCCAGGCAACAATCCAAGGGCTTTTGCCGATGAGCTGATGAATGGCTGCCAGGAGCTTGCCCTTTGTTGTAGGTGCAATCTCAGGTAAGAAAGGCATCGGTGCATCCTGGGAAACATTTTGCACGGTAGTCGACTCAAGGTCGTGGAAAAACATATTTTCAAGCCATTGCAGAATTACACTTCATGTCATCTTCATGCAGCTTTGTAGTGCCGCACCAATCTCAGCTTTCGTGGCACCTCGCCAAATTTTCTAATCAGGACCACTTGAAAGACATGACTGGCATGGAATCGCTTCCGCGATTTGGGCAAAGCCAGTCCTGATCCCAGATGCAGTTCACGATTTCTTTATCAAGATTGATGTTTTTGCTTGTCCTTGGTGCCTTCCCTGTTCAGTTTTGCAGCAAAGAGCTTGACTTTCAATGGTGAGTCAGAATTGAAAGTGAACAGCAATCCTTTGTCTCGGGCACGCCTTGAAGGCCTTGCAAAATGGATGGGAAGGTACAAAGTCCGAAGCGCTCAGTTACACTCAGTGGGTAAACGGGGTGACCTCCTGCAGTTGTGGCGGCTTTCAAGAAAAGCTTGTGCCGAATGCAACACTAGCAACGTTTGCATTTCTCGATACACCTTTTGATTTTTTCCGAAACTCATGAATGCTTTTCTGCTCCAAAAGCGTGACAGTCTACAAAACAACCAGTGCATTAGGTCTCCCAAGTTCGGAATTTCAGAAAGTTTCCAATTTCGAAGAAATCCGGCGATGCCTCGCCGTTTGGAGGTGTTGCTAAGCGCATAGCTTTAGCTACCTGGGGGCGCGCCCCTGCCGCCGACCCTCCCCTAAAATCCTTCCGCTTGCTGGGGTTTTCACGTTTTTGGGGGTTCGGGTGGGAAAAAAGAGGGTAAAATTCGAAGATGCGTTTTGGAGGTCCTTGTTGGGCGTTTTTTGGTCGCTTTTTGGTGGATTTTTCATGTTTTTTTGGTGCTGTCCACGCGTAAAAATCGTGTAATTTACAATGTTTTTGCGCCTTTGGCATCAAAAAAAGCTTGTGACAACATGCTGGAAACTGCGTAAATACCAGTGTTTTTGCTAGGCCCGGGCCACAAAACACTGTAAATACCGTGATTGTTGCTAGCAGAGGCTCAAAACCTCGTAAATACCGTGGTTTTGCGCTCATGCGGAGCCAAAAACATCTGTATTTACGGTGTTTTTGTGTTCCGAGAACGTGAAAAATCGCGGAAACACCGCCCATTTGAAGCTTTTTGGGGGTTTGCAAAAACCGCCTATTTGACTATTTTCGGGAGTTTGCAAAAAGTACCAACTACAAAGATAACAACGACAACGACAACAGGACCAAGCAGCTACAGCAACAACAACAACAACAACAACAACGCCGCCGCCGACGACGACGAAGACGACGACAACAACGACAACGACGACGACGACGACGACGTCGACGACGACGACGACGACGACGACGACAATGACGACAACGACAACAACAAGGACAACGACAACGACAACACGAACAAGAACAAGAACGAGAACGAAGACCAGAAGCAACAACAACGACGACAACGACGACGACGACGACAATGACGATGACGACAACGACGACAACGATGCAGCTCGCAGCATGTCATGTCCGCAAGTTCAGATGAAATCCCCCTCTCTCTTTCCCTCCCCCGACCCTTACAGGCATCGCCGGTGTGCGAAGCTCTACAATTCTTTGGTGACGACGTGATAAATGCTTCGGGTCATGCATTGACCTCTTGCGATTTTCCGGAAACCCTGATCAGTTGCAGGCATCAGGTTTACTTCCAACAACAGCGGACATCAGCAATGGTACGGTCCAAAAGCAGCCATGATGTCCGACTTTTGCATTGTTGCTCATTGCATTTGAAATATGCTTGTCGGACGATGCTTACATCATATTGTGTACCATGTGCATGTACATACTGTAGATCCCATCTCATTTCACTTTTGGAACACCGCTCATGTGAGCAAATCCCAATAGAATTTGTATATCCGGACCACCTGAGTTTCATCATGT